GCAAGTAATATGGAAGGATAACTGAATTTCATTAACTTTTTGAGCAAACTTTACAATTTACATCCTTGTTCAAATTCTCTAGCTCGCCTTGAAAAAAGCAAAAAATTTTACACATAATATTTTTTCAAATTAGCTATGTTTCATGACCTGGCAAGTGATCAGACTTCTGCGTCCTTCAGTGAGTACGCTCCTCCTGCGTGCACTGGCTCGACCAGGTATGGCCCCTCCCAGTTCGGCTCTAGCTTTTCCACATGTTTGAGCACATCGACACGTTTCCAAACCAGGTCACCTACTTGGAGTCTGCGAACTTTCACCTTCTTGTCATGAGCGGCTCACATCCTTTGCTTGTACGCCTCCACTCTAACCGCTGCTCTCTCACGCAACTCCTCAATAGTGTCCAAACCTGCCATAATTAAATCTTCGTTTTGCTTCGAGTCATATGTGCTCGACCTCTGCGATGATAGTTCGACCTCGACTGGTAGCAATTCCTCCATCCCGTAGACTAAACTAAAGGGAGTTTCTCCCGTTGTCGACCTCTGGATTGTGCGATACACCCAAAGCACTGAGGATAACTCATCGACCCATGCCCCTGAGGCCTTTTCCAGCCTTATTTTCAGCCCGTTCAGTATAATTCGGTTGGTTACCTCGACCTGGCCATTAGCTTGTGGATGAGCGACTGAGGAAAAGTGTTGCTCGATTTTCATATCTTCACACCATGCTCGAACCCGCTTGCCATTGAATTGAGTACCATTGTCGGATATCAACACTTTAGGGACGCCAAATCTGCAGCAAATATTGTTGTATAAAAATTTGATGACTTTCTCCTCCGTAATCTTTGCGAAGGGCTCGACCTCCACCCATTTCGTGAAGTATTCTACCGCCACGATCAAGAATTTTCTCTGCCCCGTTCCTTGTGGCATCGGCCCACCAGGTCGATACCCCACTGGGCGAAGGGTATAGGAGCCCTCATTGTTGTCATCGCCTCCGCCAGTTGATGGATAAGTGGCCATGCTTTTGGCATTGTAAGCATTTCTTCACCATCACCTTCGCATCCTCCTTCATCGTTGGCCAGAAGTATCCTGCCCTCAGAATTTTCACTGCAGTACCCTTCGTGCACTTCTCTCAACACATATCAACCTTCCTCCTTAGTCACACAACGTAAATGCGGTCCGGCATACGACCGCTTGTAAAGAATGCCTCCGTGCTCAAAAAATCTCCACACCGCCTTTATCGCCCCCACTTTCAGCCCCTCTAAGATCGGGGCCCTCCAATCCTCCACTTCCTCAATCTCCGCTACTTCCGCTTCGACCACACTTCTCTCTAGAGGCAACAGATTAACACTTCTGCTCTTACAGTCCACCAGACTTTGAGCAATTTTCGATAACAAGTCTGCTCGACCATTTTCTCCTCGAGGGATCTGTATTAGCTCGAACGAATCAAACTCCTCTTTCAACTTCCTCATCCCATCGACATATTTTTGCATTCGGTCCTCCTTGACTTCAAATCCTTTTTGAAACTGCCATACTACAAGTTGAGAGTCAGAATGTACCTGCACCTTTCGGGCTCTTCCCGCCATAGCCAACTGCAGCCCTTTGATCAATGCCTCATACTCAGCCTCATTATTGGATATCTTGAATCCCACTTTGGCTGCGAACTCTAAGTAATCGCCCTTAGGGGAAACAAGCCCAATCCCTAATCCGGCCCCACTTATCGCTACTGATCCATCCACAAACAACTGCCATATCCCTCCAGATTTCTCCTCGATTTTCGTGCCTTCCTGAATGAAGTCTGCTAACACTTGCGCTTTTATAGCCCTCTTTGGTTCATACAACAACGAGTATTCAATCAGCTCGACCGCCCATTTTATCAATCGACCAGAAACCGATGGCCGACCGAGCGTTTCTCCTAATGGCATGTTCGTTCTCATCTTCACCTTATGATTCAAGAAATAAGGCCTCAGCTTTCGAGCAGTCACTACTACTGCCAGAGCACACTTCTCAATCTCCGAATACCTCATCTCCGCTCCCTGCATCACCCTGCTCACGTAATAGATAGGAAACTGTGCTACCCTTTCCTCTCGCAGCAATACCGAACTCACAGCCCTCTCCCCGATAGAAATGTACAGCACCAAATCCTCACCTTGTACCGGTTTGGCCAACAGTGGAAGATTGGCTAACACTCCTCGTAACTCCTCAAATGCCCTTTGCGCCTCCTCCGTCCACTGAAACTTCGCACTCTTCTTCAGTGTTTTAAATAATGGGCCACTCTTTTCCGCCACCTTTGATATAAAATGACTTTGCCCTGCGATTCGACCAGCCAAGATTTGTACCTCCTTAACATTCACCGGCGACTTCAACTCCATCAGCGCCCGCACTTTCTCTGGATTCACCTCGATACCTCTCTTGGTCACCATGTAACCTAAGAATTTCCCCGATTTCACTCCGAACGAACACTTGGCTGGATTTAGCTTCATCCCATACCTCCTCAAAGTCAAGAATGTTTCCTTCAAGTCTCGCACATGATCCATCTCCTCCTTGCTTTTTACCAACATATCATCTACATAGACCTCCACATTCCTCCCCAATTGTTCCTTGAAAATTCTGTCCACTAACCTTTGATACGTGGCACCTGCATTCTTCAAGCCGAAAGGCATCACTACGTAACAATAAGTTCCTCGACTCGTCACAAAGCTCACCCTCTTCCTGTCCTCTCTTGCCAAGGGGATTTGATGATACCCCTGCGAGGCATCCATTAGGCTCAACAATTCACACCCAACAGTTGAGTCGACCAGCTGGTCGATTCTAGGCAATGGGTACAGATCTTTCGGGCATGCTTTGTTTAGATCGCGGAAGTCGATGCATATTCTCCACTTTTCCTCCGCCTTTGACACCATCACTGTATTTGATAGCCATTCTGGGAACTGAATCTCCTTGATATGCCCCGCTACAAACAACTTCTCGACCTCTTGCTCGATAATTTTATCCATCTCCGCTCCATGGTGCCTCCTCTTTTGCTTCACCGGCCTCACACTGAGGTCGATGTTTAGACGATGCTTGATCACCTCCGCACTTATCCCCGCCAATTCCTCCACTCTGTAAGTGAAAATATCAGCAAACTCCCTAACCAGATCGATCAACTTCGACCGGATAGGCTCCTCCAAATCTTTCCCCATTCTAAACTTCCTCTCCTCATATCCTTCGACCATCTGGATTTCCTCCACATCTCCTCCTGGCTGGATATCCACCTTCTCCTTACCCTTCTCCTCTCTCTGCCTATCCTCCTTCGTCCTCGATCCACATGGTCGATTAATCTCCTCCTCCTTCGGCTTGGCCTGCCTCTTCGCCAGTTGTTTGTTATTGCTCACCGTCGTCTGGTAGCAGCTTCTCGAAGTAAGTTGATCTCCGGCAATCTCACCAACGTTTTTGCCCACAGGATACTTGATCGTCATGTGGTACGTGGATACGACCGCCTGGAACGCGTTCAAGCTCATCCGCCCCATAATGATGTTGTAAGACGATTCAGCTCCCACTACCACAAACCTTACCATCCGTACCTTCCTCGTCTCTCCTACTCCCAATGCTACTGGCAAACTTACTTCGCCCATCGGCGTCACCTGTCCTCCATTGAAGTCGTAAAGCGCCGTGGCCACCAGTTTCAACTCCATATTTAGCTCCTTATTAATCTGCACAGAACAGTCATAAAATATCACGTCTACCAAACTCCCGGTATCAATAAACACCCTCTTCACATTAAAGCCCGCAACCTCCGCAGTAATCACCAAAGCGTCATTGTGCAACAAGACCACCCCTTCAGCATCCTCCGCTTCAAAACTTATCACCGGCATGCGAGCCGTAAACCCCAACTCCTCTCTCTTTCTTTACACAGCTCGAGCATTCTCTTTCTTGGCCTTATTCGAGTCACCATCCGTCGGCCCTCCTGAAATCATATAAATTGTCCCTCTCTTTATAGGAGCTTTGTCTCCGTGCCCTCCTTATCTCCATCTCTCCTCGGCTTCTTCCCTCGACCATCTCGACCATCCTTATCATCTCCCTCCTCATCTCTATCACTCCCTTCCTCCGAATCCTCGCGGCATCTCCTCCTTCCTTTCCCCTTAGTACTATAATGATACACAAACTCTTTCAAGTGCCCCACTCGAATCAGCCTCTCGATCTCATCCTTTAAATGTCTACAGTTCTCCATGGTATGGCCGTAATCTCAGTGAAAATGGCAGTAGATAACTGACCTGGGTCGAATCGGGCCTGTAAACCTCATCTTCGGCCACATCACATCCTCGCTCGACATTTTCTGCTCCATATCCTCAAGCATTTCTGTCAAATCTTTTCTCAAGGGTGTAAAATTATGGTACCTCTGCCTTTCGAACGACAATGGCCTCCCCTGCCACTTGTCATCCCTTCTCATCTGCTTTGAATCTCAGCCCTCTTTCCTGGGCGATGTTCTTTCTGGCCCACTCCTTTTGGGCGAACTTCTCCTCGGCGACCTTCCCCTTGGTGGAATCTTCTCCTTCTTTGGCTCAGGTCGAGCTGCCCCTTCCAATTTTGCAAACTCCACCTCCATCTCCTCCAGATTAATGTACTTCCTGCATCGCTTCAAAACATCCTTATATGATCTAGCAGGGGTTTTTGCCAAGGAGGTTCGACAAGGCCCCGCTCGAAGACTCCTTATCAATCCTCCCGATTTCACCTCATCCGACGCTGAGTGCACCTCAAAACATGTTTGATTATATCCAGCAACATACTTCCTAAACGACTCTTTCTCTCCCTACCTCATCGCCATCAGAGTCAGATATGTTTTCTCCTGCGCCACTGTGCTCGAGTATTGATTGGTAAGCTTACTAGCAAAATCCTCAAAATCCGCGATCGACCCAAGGGTAACTGATGAAACCAGTCAAGTGCTCCTCCGCGCAAGGTCGATAGAAATGCCCTGCAACATACAGAATCAGAATACCCATGTAACACAGCCATATTCTCAAAGGTCCTCACATGCCTCGATGGGTTAGATGACCCGTCATACACCAAATTAGTCTCCTTGAATTTATTCGGTAAGGGAGCAGCGAGAATCTCCCTCAAGAAAGGATGTCCTAGAGCTCTTCTCTCTGGCCTCCCTTCAACCTTATCCTGCAACTGGCGCAACTGCTCCGCCAAGCTCTCCATCATACGATTTCTTCCACCTCCTCCATCTCCATAACTGGACACATTCTTGTCCTGGCCTCCTACTACAGTGGTCGGCGCGGTAGTGGCGCGAGATGTATGGCTTGTGACCTGCTGCACCGCCTGCGCCGCCGCGGCTGCCATTATCCTCTGCATCTCCTCCCTGGTCATCGTCACCATCTGTTGACTGGGAGCTTGTGCAACGGCTTGCGGTGGCGCTCCTCCTTGTGTTTCCACTCCTCCTTGCACCATCGCCCCTCCTGGTTGCGCCACCACTGGGTTTTGGGGCGGCGGCGGTGGCATCGCCGCCGCAGCTGCTGCGCGAGCCTCCTGGACACGAATGGAGCTAGCATCTCCCCCAAGAATCGCCATAGACGCTCCCACACCTTGAAGGACGGGTGTAGGAGTGACCGGCGTCTGTGAAGGGCCAGAGAAACCCAGAGGAGGGCCTTGCCCAATCGGCCTGGTCGTCGTCCAAGCGTCATCGAACGTCGACTACAAGTTGGTTCTGAGAATTCCGTCCGCCATAGCTGAGCTTCAAACACAACTTTTCAAACAAAAGGGTCCCCACAGACGGCGCCAATAATGCTAGTGTGAATGTCCTAGTCCGGTTCGGGGTAGATCGATTCCTTTCCTTCCCGGTAGAACGTCGGAAACCTGCAAATAACTCTCACACCGGGGGTTGTGTCCGGTGAAGAGCCTCTTATACTTAAGTCAGTATGTGTATGAATATACCTGAGTTGGATAATGGAAAAATCGTGTTAAGGGAGAAAGGCTCACCCCCTTTATATAGGGGTGAGATACCTGCCCTAATAGCTGCCCGGATAAGGTGAGCTGGCTGCCCAAGCTGCCCGTCCGTACTCTGACACACAGCGCGTATGTCAGAGGTGTCGCGAGGCGTTGGGAGCTATCAGAGGTGGTTGTCGCTATCACCCAATAGGTTCTCGACACATGTCCTCCTGAACATGGGATGAATATTTTTCTGAAATTCCGTTAGAGGCTCTTTCACGCACCTGTGACTAAGGCCGATCTATGAAGTGTTAAGTCCGCGAAGTGGTCGACAGCTCGAGGTCGACTGGACTGCTCGACCGTTCATCTGGTCGAAGGATGGATTGATCGACTGCTTAGTTGGTCAACTGGTTAACTGGTAGATTTCAACTCGACTTCTTCACGGTATGACCTCCACGACCGGTCAGTAGACCGGTTTAGCCTTGTGGGTAAAATATCCTATATCATTATGAGACTCACTGATCGTTGTTGTAATCTAGACCTTCATTGATTGATGCGTTCTCTTAAGCGGTAAGATAATATACAATAGGCATATATATTCATTCCTTGTTTATTTGATTTACCGAGTGATTCCTATTTTGTTAGGATGACATACCAGGTTTTTTGGTAAATGAGAATGATTATATGATGTGCTATTATAAATTATTTATGGTCACTATGTTCCAGCGCGTTGGATTGTTGACGTCCCCGAAATGAGCTCAGGAATGTACATTATGTTAAAACCCTGCAGGTACACAATTGTCTGACATAATGGTTAAGGATCTAAGTGGTACTAATTTCAGAAATGAATAAGAAGTTAATTAAATATTTTGTCAGTAATTTAATTAATTAACGGACATTATATCTTAAACATAGGGAGGTAAACCGGTCAATCGGATTAATATTATTTAATTATGGAGGCTCGATTTTATTGATAAAATAGGAGCTAAATGGAGAGAGCAATAATATTACTCTAGTAGGATGTTTTATTATTTAATTCCATTTAAATAAGAATTAATTACATTCCATATTTATTATTCCATTAGGAAGGAAATATTCCTACTAGAATCTTGTCTACGGTTAGGAGACTTAGAGAGTCTTCTACAATGTGATGAGTAGTAGAAGAATACTATCCTAGATTGGATTAGTAGATGGAGTAGAATTAAGATTCCTTGGCCTAATGGGATAAGCCCATATTTAGCACCTCCTTATAGTCCCTAATGGAGCCTATAAATACACCATGTCCCAACCTCTCCTACAATGTTATGTTGGCCGATTTTTCTCTTCTACATACACGAGAGAATAGCATCGTTCGAGAGTTAGGGAGATTTGATTAAACGCTCCACCAAGTTTAATCGAAGTAGGTGTTTAGGTAATACGTTAGAAGGCTTTTTGGTACAATATATTCAAGTCTTCTACATATATATTTCCGGTCACTTTCCCCAGCCGACCGCCACCGTCCGCCGCTGTCGACCGTCGCCGGAAATCGCTGCCGCCACCCATCACCGCCAGAAGTCCAGGCCCAGCCGATCGCTACCGCGGGTAACCGCCCGCGACCGCGCCCATCCAGGCCCAGTCCCTGCTCCCAGCAGCGACCACCATCGACGTCCGCGAGCTCCCAACACTGCCTATCTGCTCACGATCCGCCATCGCTGCCAGTCGACCATCGCGCACGACCCCAGTGATGCCCGTCTGCTTGTTGATCGTTCCCAGTGCGCGACCGTCACGCGCGCACCATTCGAGCGCGCCCCTGCTGCCTTGCTCTTCATGCCGCGTGTTCCCAGACGCCCAGCGCTAGTACGCGTAGGCTTAAGAGTCCCGCCAGTGCACATCTGCAACACACCCACCTGCTCCCAGCGTCTGTCTACAGATCCCAGCGACCCGCGCGTCACGCCCAGCTGATGCGGAAGTGGCTAGGCAGCTCAAGAACGCCTCGAGTCACGCCTACCATGCACGCAAAAGGTAAGCACGGGTGACGGCAGAAGTACGCGCACTGGAGTATAGTGCGCGCGGAACGGGGGAAGATGGACCGCACGCAGATGTGCGAGTGGTGTGCACGGCAGGGTCGCTTAGCGAAGGTGAGCAGGACGCGCGTAGCGCGGGGTTGACAAGCGCGCGTGGAAAGATCACGCGCGGGGGAGGCACGCGCAGCGGACGAGGCCTCATGCCTCGAGGCGTGCAGAAAGGTGGGGCAGCACGCGCGCAAAGGAGCAGCCGGGAGCGAAGGCGTGCGCGACACGCATGATGGGGAAGAACGCGCGGGACGCAAGGCCGCAATCCTTGAGCAATGCGGTATGGTGGGCGATCACACGCGAGAGGGCGGCGCGGGCAGCATTGGCGTGCGCAGCATGCCGGGCGCCAGTACACGCGCGCAGCAAGGCGGCGCCGGCGCGCCCTAGTGCTGCAAGGACTAGAAAAGGCACGCAGGCGGCTGGGACTTAGTGGTGTGCGAGGCGGCCGAGAAGAGAGAGATTACTTGGTGTGCAAGCCAAGCTTATAGTTCCCATCTAGTACTATAATTTCTAGCTTGTTTAGGATTTCTAATATTTTATTGTTTTATTAGTTCCCTAGGTAGATTAGGCTTAGACATATTTTGTGCCTATATAAAGGCCCATTCCAATGTTATTTTTAATCATTCAGTTTATCAATAAAAATCCGAACTTCTGTTCAAGCACTTTGTCTTAGATTTATTTTAGATTCCTATTGCAATTTTATTCGTTTCAATAGACGCAGTTTGGCTAGAGAAACACCTATCGACGATTCAAGGCGCGGGTTCGTGGCTTATCGACAATCGAAACACACGATCTTTATCATTGGTGCTTTCATTGAGATGTGTTAGATCGTGTGTTTTTCTTCTATCCCATTCCCTTTCTTTTTCTTTTCTCTTTTTCGTCCCCCTATAAAAAAAAAATATATATATATCATCATCATCACGAGTCCTCGAAGCAAAGAGCGTAGAGAAGAGAAGAAAGCAATGGCCAATAAAGAGATGAAGGACAAGATCGATAATCTTGACATCCAGATGCGAAGCATGAGCGAAGTTATGGAGGGAAGGCTTGGATCGCTCGACGAACGCCAAGGCAACACTAACGCCGCCGTGGCACGACTCGAGCAGCGCCTAGAAGAGGTACTGCAAGCATTCCAGCAGCAACCGCCACGGCAGCACGACGTCCCTCCGAGGCGCGAACATCGCCGACACGCCGAGCACGACGAGCGCACTGTTGGGTTCGATATACCATACGGAACAGTGTTTACAGCGGAATTTAAAATTTTATAAGTATTTATCTTATAAGTACTTATTCCGTACATAAGTATAACGATATAACGAATAAGCATCATTTAAAATCTAGTAACTTTTACTAATTTTGATTTGATATGTAATTTATAAAAATTACCTTTGTTCTTGAACTCCTTCAAAACTGACGATGTATGAGGAAATCAATTCCCGGTTTGGTAGCGATCACTTCTTGTGGTTACTCACCTTAGGAATCCAAATGTCTTTCCTCTAATCGTATCCACCTTTTGAAGTCCGGTTCCGATAATAGTTCCTTCGCTAGTAGAAACTACTCGGTTTTATTCAATAAGTATGAAATATATATTTATAAAGAAATTTTTCAAGAACACTTTCTTGTATTATCACTCAACTCTTTGAATGAATTTTTCTCTTGGAAGAATTTAGCTCAAAAACTTAGCCTTTAATGTGCAAACATTTTGCACCTATTTATACTAAACATTTAGCATAAAATAATCAATATTTGATATATTTTATTTTAAATAAAATCAGATTTTATTTAAATAATCATACCAAATATTGACTTTTAATTAATAATATGATTGGTTTATAACCACCATCAATCATTATTATTGTATTAATAAAAATAAGATTAATTATGTGGATTAGTTAACAACTCCTAACCACCATAATTAATTTATTCTTATATTTATTTAATCTTCAATCATATTAAAGATAAATAATAAAATAATAATTCTTGAAAACATTTTTCAAGACTTTATTATTTTAATCTATTCTTCCATTTCCTTATTTAATAATCTTATTATTATTTGGATTTGAAATTTAAAATCCAATTTTAAATTCCAACTATTAATTAGTAATTCTATTAATTACTAAATTAATATCCAAAATTCAATTATTCAATCTAATTGATTAATTTAATATATTCCTTTAATTGATATCTAATCAAATTAGATTTGTCAATCAATTCAAGCTCTTTAGAAATACTATTTGAATTTTACCTTCATTAAAAAATTGGTGTGACCTTTTAGGTTCACAATTAATACTAGTAGTGGGTTTACAACTCTTTGTAATTTGAGTTATTCATATTAACTCTTATTCTTCAATTAACTCTTTAATTCAAGAACCCACATATCATGGGAACATCTAGCAAGTAGCATGAATCTAGTATTAAGTGAATAGCGAGTAAACCTATTTCGATTACAAGTTCATACATGTAAAATCCTTTCGACATCCAATTTCCCGATTGAATCTTTGGGTATGATTTTGTCGAAACTGTAACACCCCACCTTA